TTAAGATTCAACAGAGAAGAATCGTTTTCCTTCAAAAAACTTTTATGTAAATATTATTTAAAAAAAAAGAGAAAGAGAGAATGTCAATCGATGTTTAGTAGTTGTTAGTATACAGGTTTGAAGGATTTATTATTTATGGTGTGTATGTGTGTGTGTGTGTGTGTGCGTGTGTGTATGTGTGCTTTTTTTCTTTTTTTTAATTGGAAGCAAAAAATTTCGGAATCGCAACAAAAAAACTCCAAAAACGTTGCTGCTCTCCTTCTCGTTGCGTGATATCTACAAAAAAATGTCATTCAAGGGAAAATACATCTTCAAAAATATTCTCAAAAATATCCTCAAAAATTGTAAGGGCGAGATGAGAGATGCGGCATGGGGGCTTTGATGTCGAACGATTGGGGGTAAATTCATTCCGTATGAACGAGGTTCTGCTGTAAAATGCAAAAAATTGCAGAAAAATCTGTTGCAACGTCAAAAATATATATACGTGTATGCACACATATGATAGCCGAAAAAAAATTTTTTCTTTTCGGGACGAACGGATGGAGTCGTATTCCTATCTTTTTCTTTTTTTTTCTTTTTTTCTTTTTCCCTTATCTTTTGTTTAGCAGTACTGAACAATTAGTGCTGTGTCATTGGATCACATAAAATTTCGAATGAAAAAAAAAAAAAAAAAAAAAAAAAGTTAAAAAAAAAGAAAAACAAAAAAAGAAGAAAGGAGGAAATTTTTAAAAATATTTCATTTTAATTTATCATACGACACGTACATACTTTGACAGTACTGCTAATAACAATATCTTTGGGTTCTGTCGGACGCGATTTATTCGAGAACGAAATTACTTAGAATTTCGCACAAACATACTCTCTCTTTTAGATTCTCGATGCAGAATTCTCGATCCAAAGTTGATTTTTAATGAAGGAGGAATACGGTCCAAGTAAGATCGGCATTATACGGATCCAGATGTATCGTTCGAAGGCAACGAAAAATCATACAAGAAAGAAAACGATAATCGAATTAAGAAAAAAAAAAAAAAAAAAAAAAAAAAAGAAAACAAAGAAACAAAAAAAGAACGGAGTATATATATATATATGTATGTAAAAGGAAAAAACATATAAAAAGAATATAAAAAAACCTAATAAAAATGTTATAATCGATTTTTTGTTCTTTTCTTTTTTTTTTTTTCCTTTTTTTTTTCTTTTTTTTTTTTTTTTTTAATGGGAGTATACGATAAAAAAAATTTGTGTGATAGGATCGAGAGGACTTTTGTAGGGAAGAAATGATTTCTATGGTTTTTTTTTGTTTTTCCTTTTTTTTTTTTTTTTTTTTTTTTTTTTAGTCGTGAAAAATGAGATAATCGATAAAGACAATGAGTGAGATGATCAGGTGTAATCGTTGGATCGAATAGAGGAATAGAGGCGTTTAAAAAGGAAAAGAAAAATATCAGGAACTTGTTAATTAATTAGATTAGAAGAACGAAAGGAAGATAAGCGCGGAAATAAAATAATAGACGAAAAAATAATGAAATCATAAACGTAAAAAAAGAAGCTACCTAAACCCCGGGATCAGCCCCATGGAGTTGCTTGATCCACATTTGGATCTTCTCCATCTCGTCCGTCAGCAATAAAACGTCCAAGCATCCCTTGAAGTAGTCAGTGGTGAAGCAATTTTTTCTGAAAAGAAAAGAAAGTTCGATGAGGAATAACGTTAAGAGTCCTTTGGAATTTTGATCTCTCCGTCCCGATCCAATCCGATCCGAACCAATGGATATAAACGTCCGTTGGTAAAATCCTGTTGGAAATTTTCCTGAAAGAGTCTAGTGGTCAAATGAAATCGATGACGAATAGAAAATCGATCGTGTCGAAAGCATAATATTTTTTTAGTTGAAAGGGATTTTTTGTTCATCCCCTCTCAAAAATCATGAATATTTTTGTAATAACTCAGGATCGACGATATGAATGAAATCGGAAAACAAAAGGAAAGTCGATTGTATCGAATGTTTATATGATTTTATTTTTTTTTTTTTTTTTAACTTAAAAAAAATCAATTTGTTTTTTAAAATTTTTAAACGATCCAAAAAAAGTCTAGTATTAAAACGATCAATAAAACTGTTTGTCCAAGCAAAATCGATCACATTATCCTTTTTGTTAGATCGAATTTCTCAAATCTCTTTTCTAAACATTTCTCCATATTTGTGTGTATCTATTTCTAAATGTATCTGTAATCGTTTCCTTCCTTTCTTTACCGATCTAATCCAAATGAATATAAATTATATCCCCTATTTGTCAGATCGAATTTCTCAAATCTCTTTTCTATACATTTCAAGAAATTTGTGAATAGCTATTCTTAAAAGAGTGTTGTATTATTTCTACAAACGTAGATGAAATAAATCCATTTCTTTCTTAACCGATCACGTCGAACATATTATTTTACTTACCTTACTTTTACTTTGAATTTTACGAATCTCTTTTACGAGAGTACTTGTTTTTTTTTTTTTTTATTTTACAAATCGGTTGACATTCGTTGAAAAAGTTTACAGTAACGAAACGTCGACGAAATCGGTAATGAAAATCGGTAAAGAAAATCGGTCTTATAAAATGTTCTATCATTTTCTTTTTTTTTTTTTTTTCTTTTATTCCTTCGAACTTATCAAAAGAAAAACCGTGCATCGATTTCGGTTATACTTTTAAGAGATAACGAAATTATCGGCCGAATATAGTTCGAAAGTATTTCCCGTTTAAGCTTATACGCTCGAAAGTATACAGCAGAATATCCGGCTTTTCCTTCGCAATCGACGATTCTATTTTCGGTACGGTCGTTAATCCATTCCTCCTTAACGCTCTTCGGCAGAAAACGGCAGGTAATAACGGCCGTGCGTTAGCATTCGTTCTTGCCGTGAGCTATAAATAGAAGAGAAATCTCATTCCGTTTCGATACGCGTGCCACGAGCGCACACGGGGCTACGTTTCGAGCTGCCAACGCGGAATGAGAGAAACAAGATCACGAATTACGATTTACGACGGTTTTAACCTCCCCTCTTTCAGCTAACGAACCGTACGTAGATCTTTCTTTTCCTTTTCTATTTTTTTTTTTTCTTCCAAAAATCTGTACCCACCCTTTAACCGTTTTTCCTTCCTTTACCTTCGACAACGTCGTGAACAAGATGATGCGAGATGAGAGATACGATATTGAAAAAAAAAAAAAAAAAAAAAAAAACAAATGATATTGCATAAAAACTAATCAATTTACATCTCTTTCCTTTCATTTTTAATCGAGTCTCTTATATTTCATTTGTCGATATTGTGAATAAAAAGAAAAGAAAAAAAAACATGTCCGCTCTCGGAGATAATGTCTAATATGTAAGATAAACATATATATAATTATTGATAGATTACCTGCAAAGTACATGAAGTTGTGGCTCGCGGAAAAGATTATAGCAGTCCTCGCAGATGCGATCCAAGCGGGCGAAGATGCTCTTATCGTAAACGCCCTTGCAAGAGATATCAAGGTAAGACCGTTTACCTAAGGGATGACTCATGAGGACACCAGCATCGGCAATACCAAGACAAGACGAGACAAGTAATAACGTAGCCGTCCATGCTAAGACGGTCAAAAGACTTGGGCAGCTCGTCGACGAGGACGACGATAACGGTGACGACGAAGACGACGAGGGATAGGAGGAGGAGGAGGAAGAGGAGGAGGAGGAGGAGGAGGAGGACGACGACGACGAATTCGAGAGACCAAGCTCGTACACCGTCGTCCTGTTATATGCCGAATGGTTGCCCAATGGCGATGACGACGACGACGATGACGACGACGACGATTGCTTTCTCAAGGATGCTTGACCTTTTTGTTCGCGACGCATCATCATCATCATCATTGTTGTTGTTATTGTTGTTGTTGTTGTTGTTGTTGTCTGTAAACAGAAAATAAAACTTACATAAAATATTTGTCTAGTTGGAGTTTTGACAACCAAAGAAAAAGAGGAACAAAAAAAAAAAGAATAAAGAAGGAAAGAAGGAAAGAAGGAAAGAAAGGCCAAACAAAAGAAAAAGAAAAAGAACAAAATGGTGGTTTAGGCCACATACTGTCTCAAAGTCGGAACACGATCGTCTAGAAACGTTTTTTAAGCGACGAGAAGGGAAGTATAAGGAGGAGGAGAAGAAGAGGTAGAAGAAGAAGAAGAAGAAGAAGAAGAGGAAGAGGAGGAGGAGGAGAAGTAGGAGGAAGAGGGCTCTCAGGTATACCAACAACCTCTCCGCCCCCCTCCTCTTCTCTCGCGGCGAGTCTCACGGGTGAAGATGTAAAGCAACTCTTAACCAGTCCTGCGGCAGCCGCTGTGAATGGACCACACGCAGGCAGGCCCCACCTGTAAACGTCGTCAACCGACAACTTCATTAACCGAGGCCCCTGCGCGCGATCTACGCGGCGTGCTCCTCCTCCTCCTCCTCCTCCTCCTCCTCCTCCTCCTCCTCCTCATTCTCCTCATCCTCATCCTCATCCTCATCCTCATCCTCCTTTTCATCATCATCCTCTTACTTCTCTCTTCCTCCTTCTCCTCACAACCACCGTCGTCGCGTTCACCTTTACCGCGTGTGCGCCTGGCGAAAGAGATAGATAGAGAAGGAGAGAGAGAGAGAGAGAGAGAGAGAGAACGTTTCGCCCGGTTCTCTTTTTTCGGAACATAATCATCGCTCCCGGGTGGGATCTTATTTTTAGCCCTGGCCGATTCTTGGAACTCTCGAACCGCTCTCCTCCTCTATATATCGAGGCCCCACCGGGTAATTGCTTTCGGCCCGATAATTTGCCCTCGGAAAGTCCTCCGAGTCCGGATCGTTAAATGCTTTCGTACGGATTTCCAAAGCTTCCAGAGAAAGAGAGAGAATGAGAGAGATAAAAGAGCCTCTCTCTCTTTCTTTCGAGGAAATGTCCACTCTTTTCGTGATTATCCTTTAAGAAAGATCGTACGTGTCTGTTAAAGATTAATATCTCAAATTTGTCATCATGGACTCTTTCCTAACTTTTATATATACACTTTTTCTTGTTCTTCTCTCTCTCTCTCTCTTTTTCTTTCTTTCTTTTTCTTTTTTCATTCGATTCCGGAAAGCAAGTTTCGAGGTCGCGCAAGCACCAAAGAAGAATCGAAGAAGAATCTACTTTTCTCAGGCTTTCTCGAGCACATTCTCTCTCTCTCTCTCTCTCTCTCTCTCTCTCTGTCTGTCTCAGTGGGAACGATATCCCTTGGAAAGTCTCTCAGTCCTGCGACGATCGCAAACCGGATCCCCATCGACAAAATCGGCTGAACGTGTACTCCTATCCAAGTGCATATACATACGTATATACATATATATGTACGTACGTATATATGTATGTATCTACAAACGTATAGTACTTACTTATGTACATCCCCAGGCCGTTTCTTTTTCCGCGAAAAATCGGCTCTATATTTAGAAGAGTGCGATCTTAAGAGTGGTGACACACGGTCGAAGGCAAAATCGCACACCGGTCCAAGAGAGATGGTTAGAGAGAAAGAGAAGAAGAAAGATAAAGGGAAAGAGAAAGAAGAAGAAGAAGAAGAAGACGAAGAAGAAGAAAGGGACAGAAAGAAAGAAAGAAAGAGAGAAAGAACGAAGGAACGAACGAACTAACGTACAAACTCGCAAAGCATAGGTGTTCCCTTATCCGCTTCGCGTATCTCTCTGCTTCACGAGAAAGAGATAGAAAGAAAGAGATAGAAGGAAAAAGAGAGAGAGAGAGAGAAAGATATAGAAAGGCCGCGAATCGAGTCGAGTCGAGTCCGAGTCGTGTTGTGTTGAGTCGAGTCGTCGAGTCGACGAGCCGAGCCGAGTCGACTCCGCCGGAGTCTCAGGGTTCTGAGGGAGGGGTACAGCGAGGGAGTGTGTGTGGCATAGGGAGGGAGGGGAGGACAGAGGGAAGGGTGGTGAAGAGAGGGGGTGTGACGAGGGGTACACGAACGAAGAAAAAGTCAATGGAGACCGGTTGCTCGACAGGTGAGGTCTTTCCTCGGTGCAGCCACGCACAGGTGTGCAATCTGCAAATACCCTTTGGCAAAAAGCCACACGCTTTCGCGGCCAGCCACGGCGCGGATCGTTCGCGCGAGAACATTCGAGGTCGTATGGAAGGAGTTCCCTTCCATATTCCCTCTTCACCTCCTCCTCCTCCTCCTCCTCCTCCTCCTCTCCATTCCTCTCTTCGTTCTTCTCTCTCTCTTTCTCTCTTCTCCTCTCTTCTTTCCACTCCATTCCTCGTCCCTTACTTTCCCCTTCCCTCTCACTCCGCACCCCACCCCCTACCTCTACTCTCCGCTCCTATATCACGTGCCTTCTTCTTCTCTTTCCTTTTCCTTCTTCTTCTTCTTCTTCTTCTTCTTCTTCTGCTTCTTCTTATTTTCTTCTTATTCTTATTGGAGATCGACCTCCCTCGATTATTTTCCTTCTCTATTTATCTATATCTATGTCTAACGATCTATCTATCTATCTCTTTATTATTTATCCGTCAATTTTATCACTCGACGATAGACGAGAATTTTCGTAACTTCTATTAATCGTATTTGAAAATGGTTCAAATAGAATTTAGATTTTGCGCTTATACGATATATGTTTGTTTTTGTTTATTCGTGTGGATGTGTCTGTGTGTGTAGGTAGATAGGTAGGTAGGTCTATAGGTAGATTTCAATTGGAATTTCAAAGAGGAATGCAATCGTGGTTGTGATTGTATTCGAACCTATAATGGTCGCGGCGAACAGAAGTTACTTAACGTTTTACGATTATATATTTCTAAATGAGTAAAAGTATTATATACATTTAATAATACGTTGTATCGATTTACGCGATGACTTTTTTTACGATCATATTTTTCTTCTTTTCTTTTCTTTTATTTCGCTTTTCCTTTTATCATTTCTTTCGTACGATAGAGAGAGAGAGAGAGAGAGAGAGAGAGAGAGAGAGAGAGAGAGAGAAAGAGATAAAGGGGAAAAAAAAGAGAGAAGAACAGAGAATATTTGATCAGATAGATAAGTATTTAGTTATCCCATTATCGAATTATTTTCTCTCTATGGTTTTGTATTAGTTCCATTGATTTATTCGTTCCTCTTTTCTCTTTCCCCCATCCAACCTCTTCCGCCGCCATGTCACGTCTTTTTCTCTTTTTCGAATAATCACTTTTCGTTAGTCCTCTCTTTGTGTCCACTACTCTTAATAAGTATAGAAAGAAGAAGACATAGTAGTATAGAAAGAGACTTAGTATACGAGGAGAAGAAAAGGAGGATGAGGATTAAGTGGAAGGATGAAGAGGAGAGAGAGAGAGGATCAAGAGGAAGGATGAGGAAGATGAGGATGAGATGGAGAGGTGGAAGAGAAGGAATGAAACGTGCGGGGCCTTTTTCGAAAAGGCGACGAGTCCTTTTTATCGCGGTCGGGATATATCGTTTGAAGAAAAGCAACACGGCGGGAGAAGATAAAACGTGGAGAAACTTGGCACGGGGTTGGGGTGAAGTGGGCTGAGGTAGGGTGGCATAAGGGGGACAGAGAGAGAGAGAGAGAGAGAGAGAGAGAGAGAAAGGAAGGATGGTAGTGGTGGATGAAGCCACGAGACCGATGCGGCGTATCGTTAGATGCGTCGGCTCCACCACTCACCAGGTGGTCCTTTTCCCGTGTCGGATGACTCAATCGTGAGAAGGAGTTGCTGGACAAGCTCCTTGCCGGAGGGCCTCGGAGCGCCAAGATCATACGAGGCCCGCGCGCTCGCTCGTGAGAAAGAAAGAGAAAGAGAGAGAGAGAGAGAGAGGGAGAGAGAGAGAGAGAGAGCTCTATCGTGAGTTCTCACACACATACACAATCGCCTTCGTCGGCTTATTACGAACAACCGTCCTCCATTGGCGTCGACTTCTTTTCGTTTTGTTCAAGTTTCTACAGTTTTTGTTTTTTCCCTCGGTTTTTCCTTTTTCTCTCTCTCTCTCTCTCTCTCTCTCTCTCTCTCTCTCTCTCTCTCTTTCTCTACACTTGCTTTACTTTTCTTTCTTTCGTTTTTTCTTCTTTTTCTTCTTTTTTTTTTTCTTTTTTTTTGATAGGAGAGAAGGAGGGCCATTTTTTCCTTCTTGTTTTTATTTCTTGTATTTATTTTTTTTCGATCGAAAAATTATTCCCCATCGAATTATTTCGTTATCATATATATATATATATATATATATATACATACATATATATGTTTTTTTTTCTAAATACATATAAGAGGCCCTAAATGTTTTCGGAGATTCGTTCAGGTAAAATTTATATAAAAAAGAAAAGAAATTTGAAAACGAAGGAACGATGAAAGAACGAGAACGACACGTAATATCGTTCCTTCTATCCCCGTACCCATCATATCTTTCTTTTTCCTTTTTTTATTTTTTTCAGACTTCTTCGTAGAGAATCATCAAGTGGTTGCGGTAAAAGCCATGTTAAATAATTACAAAAGTGAGATGAGAAGAGAAGAGGAAAGATCGGTATTGGTGATCGGTCGAATTTCGAGAAAGATTCGTAAGACAGACAGAGAAAGAGACAGAGACAGAGAGAGAGAGAGAGAGAGAGAGAGAGAGAGAGATAGAGAGAGAGAGAGAGAGAGAGAGAGAAAGACAATGAAAGATTTCGGCGAATGAAAAAAGTCGATGATCTCGATCGCAGGTGCGGCCGAGGTCGTCGCCAATGGGAGGCACTCTCTGCGAGAGAGGCTTGCATTGGCGTTCCGTGCACATACATACAGATATATATATATATAATATATATATATATATGTACTACATTTATACATACATATAGAATACATATATATATATATAAAAATATATATATATATAGATATATATGTACGTACACACATCCATCGTACGGAGCGATGGTGGCCTCGTCGACTCTTGGGAGGGAACAGAACAGCGCAGCACAGCACAGCACAGCTTCGGAATAGGACTCTTGTTTTTACGTGCGTGTGCGTGCCAAGGAGAAACGGTGAAGAGAGAGAAAGAGAGAGAAAGAGAGAGAGAGAGAAAGAGAGAGAGAGAGAGAGAAAAGGAAGAGAAAGGAAGGAGGGGTCCTCTAATTAGGCGATCGGCCGCCGCCGTCGCCGCCACCATCGCCACCGCCGTCGAAGCCATCGGTATATACCAAGTACCATATAACATATGCCATGGGACGTGATGCGATACGTGCTCTACACACGTTATATGTATAACGCTTACGCGTCGAGGAGGAAGAGGAACGGGAAAAGAAAGGAGGCTGAGAATGAAATAAATAAAGGAGAGAAAGAAGAAAGGGAAGGTTTGTGGGGGGAAAGAAGTGGAAGGAGAAAGAGAGAGAGAGAGAGAGAGAGAGAGAGAGAGAGAGAGAGAACAGAAAAAAAAAGAGAAAAAAGTAGTAAGAAAGAAAGAAAGAAAGAAAGAAAGTAAGTAAGAAAGAAGGAAAGAAAGAGGCACCGAAAAAAGAGGAAGGTCGTAAATCAACCGGCAATGAGGCACCCTGGGCCCTACCCTGGGACTCTCTCTCTTTCTTTCTCTGTTTCTCTCTTTACTCGAACGTAGGCCCCACCCGTCTTGCTCCCGGAACCACCCAACCACTCTCTCTCTCTCTCTCTCTCTTTTTCTCTCTCTCTCTCTCTCTCTCATTCTCTCTCGCCCAATCTTTGACGTTTGCGGACTCCTCGCCCGAGTAAGGGGAATCACGTACGCATTTGCTTTATCTTTTTATAGTTTCCTCTCTTCTTTTCTTTCTTTCTTTCTTTCTTTCTTTCTTTCCTTTTCTAATCTCTTTTTTTTATCCTTTCCTTTCCCTTTTTCAACGACTCCATCGTTCATTCCCTATGAACATAACCTCTTCTTAGAAAAATCTTTCGAGTTTCGATTCCTCGTAATAAATAATAAAAAGAAAGAAAAAAAGAAAAAAAAGAAAAGGAATTACCGGTTGCGATTCTCGAAAAATATCGACACATATATATATATATATATATAAATATATATACATACACACCATATGTAAATATGCATATATATATATATATATATATGCACGTATACGTATATACATATCTCGAGTGAAAGCGCAAGTTTGTGTCATCGAAATCATTATTACGGCAGGTGTGTATACGTAAAAGGGAATCCGAGAGGTAGGAGATTGAAGGTGGAAGGTGTGGGATGAGGAAAGGATAGTACGAATAATACTCGGTACTATCTTGCGTATATATGTACTTATGTATATATCCTACGTACGTATATATACTTATGTATAAATATATATATGTTGTACGTATGTATGTAAGGATCTGAAAAAGATTGGTTTGGATGAAGGGAGACGAAGAAATAAAGAGAGGTATAGAGAGAGAGAGAGAGAGAGAGAGAGAGAGAGAGAGAGAGAGAAGAGGAGAAGAAGGGAAAGAATAAAAATAAGAAAATGAAGAAGAAGAAGAAGAAGGATAAGAGAAGAGATGGAGGATGAAGAGAAAGAGGAGGAAGAAGAGGAGGAGGTCGAACGCTGGAGGCAACGAGTTGAACGGACGAACGCCGAGAGAGGAACGGATCCTCGGCGTCCTCGATCGCGGGATCCCGGAGCAAAACTAACGATCCTCTGCTCGCGTCCAAGATCAACACGACGATAATTTAATACACGAGATCGCCACCCAGGTGCGCACTGACGTGTACAGATGCTGTCCGGCCACGTGAGGGGAAGTTGTACGTTCGTCACGTGCTTGTATATCAGTATATATATACATATATAATATATATATATATACATATATTTATATATATTTATATATGCATTTATATGTATGGATATATATTTTATATATATATATATACATATATATATATATATATAAATTTGTATGTGTATGTTGAGTGAAAGAAATTGAGGGGAGAAGAAGACGATCGAGAAATCTAAAAGAGGAGAAAGACGAGAGAGCGGCTAACCTCTCGCGGCTCTTTTGTTCTCTCTTCGCTCCCGTTCCTTCTCTTTCTCTTTCTTTCTCTCTCTCTCTCTCTTTCTCTCTCTCTCTCTCTCTCTCTCCCTCACTCTTTCTCTTTCTTTCTATCTTTCTCTCTCTCTCTCTCTCTCTCTCTCTCTCTCTCTCTCTCTTTCTCTTGGTTCGTTCCTCTAGTTCCCACACTCTCCACAGTTCGCCGCCGTTCCGTTTCGTTATCTCTTCGAAAGCAGCGAAACGCGCGACATACTTTGCTCCCGATTTGTCTCTTCTAACATCGCAAAATCTGTTAAATATTTAATTTAATATACGATATAAATATATACGAACATATTACTCAACTTGTAAGTATTATAAATAGCATAGTTCGTAATTTTCTATAATGTGTTGGTTATCTTTTATCGATCGTAGATTAATGAAAAAGAAAATAACAAAAAAGAAAAAAAAAAAAAAAACAAGAGACAGAAAGAAAAGAAAAAAAATAAAATTAATCTATAAAAAATCGATAAAAATAAAGAGTAATTGATTTTTCCAATACGAACACATTTTCCGCTCATTCTCATATATATACTTATATCTATATAGAAATGTGTGTTACTATGTATATCTCTGTATGTCTCTCTCTGTGTGTTGTGTGTATGTGTGTGTGTGTGTGTGTTGTGTGTCTATGTGAGTATGAATGCAGACGTCTATATTAATAGAAATTAATTTCGTAATAATTTTATAAGAACGAATGTTCACGTTTAAATCTATTTAGAGTATAATTCCTAACCTCTTAAAATTGTCTAGGTATGAAAGATCACGTATAAATATCGTGATGCTTCGGTTTCCTTCCCAATGGCCGACGTTGTTTCATGTTCCATCGCGCGATCTAGACTTTCACCTTTTTGCCAAGAGACGAAGAAGGAAATAACAGATGAAATCGTTGGATCGCGTAAGTATATATATATATATATATATATATATATATATACATACATACATACATACATACATACATACATATACACACATATAACAAACATAACACTCACTCACTCACACAAACGCAGCCACGCACCCATGTCAACGCGTTATTTCTTTGAAGTACATAAAAAGAAAGAAAGAGAGAGAGAGAGAGAGAGAGAGAGAGAGAGAGAGCGATACGCGTTTCTTAAAAATAATTTACTAGCTTGAAAGGATTCATCCTATATAGATGAATAAATAAGAAAGGACGATCGCGATTTGTTCGATGTTATTATTACACGTTGTTAATAATTTTCTTTGAAGTAATTGAAAAAAAAATGAAAAAGAAGAAGAAATTAAAGGAAAGAAAGAGGAGAGACGCTTTTCATAGAAATAATTTAACTTGCTAAAAACTGACTTACCCTATAAATGAAAAATATGATGGCCATTGTATTTAAACATTAATACCTTTGAAAATAAATATATAAAACTAACAGAAGAGAGAGAGAGAGACACGTGTTCGCCTTAATTTATTACAGTTACATAACAATAATTATCGACTAATACTTGCTAACTGGGTACACTCAATAAATCATACAACATAAGACGATCGAGATAGAATAAAATCGATAATGAAATATGTGATATAAATCATTTATTACAAAGTAAAAAAAAAAAGAAAAAATAAAAACAATATAAAAACAAAAAAATTAATTCAAAGGACACGTACGTGAACATAAATGAATTGTTTTACGTACGTATGTACGATATATGTATATACCTTGATAAAATAATTCGTCAACGTTTGAACCGACGACTCATCCTGTAGATGAATAAAATAAAACTAGCGATATCGAATGATGGTAGACTTTGTAGAGACGTATAGACGTATGTACATATTGTACATACATGCATGTATATGTATATATACATATATATATACATATATATATACATATATATATATATATATATATATATATATATATATCGTAGATTTGAGGATGAGATTGTCAGGTGAAGGAAGATACACACATGTATTCAACATTCATAAATATACATATGTACATATATTCATCATAGATAGATGCATCCATACATACATACATACATACATAAGTCGAGCGATCGCGTGCCGGCAAGATCGAAAGGTTAAGCGGTACGCGAGAAACGCGAAAGAGAGAAGGAACACGAAGAAGAGGAATAAAAAAAAAGATTAGATAGAGTTAGAGAGAGAGGGAGGGAGGGAGGGAGAAGAAGAAGAAGAAGAAGAAGAAGAAGAAGAAGAAGACGAAGACGAAGAAAAAGAAAACGGATGAGAAGGATGAGGATGAGAAGGAGGAAGATCGGCTCGCAACCGCTAATTATTTGTCCGACGATGGGAAAGAGAAAGAGAGAAGAAAAACGTTTCTGATGAGAAAGATAGATAGATATAGATGGAAAGAGAATGTGCGAGAGAGAAAGATAGATAGATGGATAGATAGATAGAGGGAGAGAAAGAGAAAGAGAGAGAGAGAGAGAGAGAGAGAGAGAGGGAGAGGGAGAGATAGAACGAAGGAAACCGGACACTGTGGTATGGCCGCCGCGGTTCGCCATCAAGAAGGCGCGAGCACGAATAGAGAAGTCAATGACGTCAATTGTGTGTTCAACATAATTATATAAGGAGTGGGTCCTATTAACCTAAGTCCCCGACGTACACGTCGATTAAATGCAAAACGATTTCAATCGTCACAATACCCGGACTGAATTCATTCCAACGCTATTAATGGTCTTACAATTCTTTTTTTTTCTTTCTTCTTTTTTTCCTTTTCTTCTTTTTCTTTTTTTTTTTTATCAGAGTTAGTTACGCCTGTCTTCTCTCTCTCTCTCTCTCTCTCTCTCTCTCTCTCTCTCTCTCTCTCTTTGTATGTTTTACAGTCTTTTTCTTTTCCTTTTTCTTTTTTTTTTTCTCAAACCCAATCCTTGCCCTCTCATTTGCCTATTAATATAAAATTATTTTTTTGTTCTCACCGATGGCCTCCCTTCGGTTCGTCTTTCCTTATGACATTTTTTATTCTCTTCTTCATTTTTTTTCTCTTCTTCATTTTTTTTCTCTTCTTCCTTTCTTTCTATCTTCTTTTTTCTTTTTCTTTTTCTCTCTTTTTTTTTTTTTTTTTTTTTTTTTTTTTTTTAATTTGACCCTTGCATTCCAATTTTTTAACGAAGATTATTTTTCACCGACGGTGTCGTCGATTTTTTGCTTCATTATGCTTTCTTACCAGGTTATGTTTCACCTTTTTTTTCTTCTTCTTCTTTTTCTTCTTTCTTTCGCATGTGTTTTCGTTATTGACCACCATTTTCGAAACAGAGTTAAACACGTCCATCATTTTTTCAAATGTGATTATGTCTTCCTTCCTTCTTCTTCTTCTTCTTTTTCGATCAATTATTTTTTCCCTTGTAGACTTGCACGTTCTTTTCTCTCTCTCTCTCTCTCTCTCTCTCTCTCTCTCTCTCTCTTTCTCTCTCTCTCTCTTTCTCTCTATCTTTTACTTCTTTTATACGTTCGACGAAAGCAATTAATTTATCGTCGTTCATTTTGCCGAAAGAATATGAAATAAATGAAAAAAGAAAAGAGACGAGTAAAAAAAAAAAGAAAAAAAAAAAAAGAAATATTGAAAGGAATACACAGATAAGTTAGATAGATCTTGAGGTGGATAAGATTGAGATGAGATGAGATGAGATAAGATAAGATGAAATGAAATGAGATGAGATGAGATGAGATGAGATGAGATGAGATGAGATGAGATGAGATGAGATGAGATGAGATGAAATTAGTTTAGATTAGATGAGATACGTTGAGAAGAGACGAAGACGAAGACCAAGATGAAACGAGACGAGTCGAGATTAGATGAGAAGAGTTTAGATGAGTTGCGACGAGATTGAGATGAGATGAGATGATCGTTTGGTAGGCAAAGTGAGACCGTTGCTCGATCGCGCGAAACGAGCAACCTCTCTCTCTCTCTCTCTCTCTCTTTAGTGCCGTTCCTTCATCGCGTTGCAGGTGCAACGAACTCACCGGTTTTGCGCTGTGTGGTGTACCTTCGCGCGCGCTTGGTTAACGCTCTCTCTGTCTCTTTCTCTCTCTCTTTCTCTCTCTCTCTCTTTCTCTCTCTCTGTCTCTCTGTCTCTTTCGACATTGTTTTGTTGCAGATGTGGTAGGTGTAATAGTAGTAGTAATAGTAGTAGTAGTAATAATAGTTGTCCACACGCGATTACCAAGGATACATTCCGGCGATCTTCACTTCACTCGTAAAGAATTATTTTCAATAATATTAACAACATTTGTATAATTTAATTTCTAATGTCAGATTCGTACGTATCTACACATTGTTGGATTAAATGAATTGAATGAATAAAATGAGCTAACATTCAAGATTGTAGATTTTATAAATTGGACTTTGATACTTATTTACTCTGACACGATCGATCGATCGTTTCAACGGGAGTCATGGTCAATGGGAGAAAAAAGAAATGAGGAAAAGAAAAAAAAAAAAAAAAAAAAAAGAAGAGAAAAAAATTAATAAATAAATAAAAAAAAAAAAAAAAGAAACAGAAAAAAAGAAAAGAAAAAGAAGAAAAGGAAGAAATGTAAAAAGAAACAGAAAAAAGAGAAGAGAACGCAAAGAAAAGAAGAAGTAAAGAAAAAAAAAAAAGAAAGAACGAAAGAAAAAAGAAAAAGAAAATTTCTTCGCGGAATTAACATATGTAAGCTCGATTGGAATATCTAAAAAAGAAACACATTGATATGAGAAAACAAAAAATTCTGACGTCAAACGTTCTTGCAAGAAGTCCGATGAAATGTAGTATTATAATCGATCGATATAAATAATCTCTTTCTCTCTCTCTCTCTCTCTCTCTCTCTCTCTCTTTATCTCAATTTTCTTTCGAAAATATTAATCATCCTCTCTGATATTTGATACATAAATATATGTGAATATATAGAAATATACAAATCGTCCGTCGAAAATTTTTACGTTCATATAAATAATACAATAAATTTTATATAACGCTAATTTCGCCAATGATTCATAGATTTTATCTTATCGCTGTTATCGCTATATAACGAATATAAGAAAAAAAAAAAAAAAAAAAAAAAAAAAAAAAAAAAAAAAGAAGGATGGAAAAAGAACAAAAACAAAAACTATAATATCAAGTAGAAACTTACGATCGCTTAGAAAAATTCAAATGTTCCCACGAGATCCCCGTATCTCCTTTAACCCAGCCGATTAAATTTTATACATATCTCTAGTACTTGAAAATATCAAAAGTGATTTATAGATCATAGATCTTAACGTAACACGATCGTCAAATGCAAATACGATCTAAACTATTTCTTCTTCGTTCTCCTCTTCCATAATTAAACGCATATATATATATATATACATAAATAAATAAATAAATAAATAAACAATTTCTTCAAGGAACAGTATAAAAATTAGAAAGATTTACACATACACACACACACACACAGACAAACATACAAAATATAGAAGTTACGAGAGAAGTGTTAAGCACTATATATAATCCAAGGAACGAACGAACGAAGAGAAGATATCAAGAAGAAAAGAGAAGAAAGGAGAGAGTGTCTTTTGGTAGGAAGAGGATGTACTATAAGTGGTGGTATGGTCGTTGGTAGTATGTAGACAGAAAAGGGGCGTTAGTATTTGACGCATGTAGGACAGAGCATGGCTCTATGGTCGAGTCTCCTTCTCTCTCTATCTCTCTCTCTCTCTATCAATCTATCTCTCCCTCCCTCTCTTCCTTCCTCTCTCTCTTTCTCTCTCTCTCTCTCTCTATATATATATATATGTATATACATATATATATACACACAAACATATATATCCTTCTATCTCTCTCTCTCTCTCTCTTACTCTGTTATACTCTTTCTGCGGTCGAGCGGTGCACCGCTCCCTTTGCGGTGCACGTAAGCTTAGTGCAACGGAGCGCGCTTGGCCTGCAGTACACTCTGTTGTGTAGGCTTGGTGGGGACAAGACGGTGGGGCGAGCCAGCAGCAGTGGTTCCGGCAGACAGCTTGGCGTCCTACGGTTCGCATTACGAGAAACCGTAGCCTTTCTCCGTCTTTCGCTCTCTATCTCTCTCTCTCTCTCTATCTATCTATTCATCTCTTTCTCTCTTTCTCTCCTCTCTCTATCTCTATATCTCTTTCTTTGTACAACTATGTACGTACTATCTGTGTCCAACTATCTCTCTCTCTCTCTCTCTCTCTCTCTCTCTCTCTATCTTTTCTTTTCTTTCTTATACTGACTCTCTGGCTTTGACTCTGACTAGCTCTGACTTTCTGTATGTTAGAGCTAACTATGTAGCTAGCTTAGCGGACTAGCTAGCTTAGCTAGCTTAGCTTACTTAGCTTAGCTTAGCTTAGCTAGCTAGCTAACTCATTGCTTGGGGAATACTTTGGATCTCTCTGTGTACTCACACACTTTTCTAGAGAATATATGTATACATATATATATATATATATATATATGTATAACGCGTTTCTATGACGTTGCAAACTCGGTACTCCAGTGTCACTCTGCTTCCCTCGGTTT